ATGAATTGTCGAAAACGTTAAAATCACAAACAGTGTTGAAAATGTTCGGTAACGGGAATCATGATTGATTTAAATCAATGTCTTCAATCAAATTTCAATTAAATCATACTTTATGTAAATCACAGGCTCCGTCGGAAAAGAGATTCATATATATATAATATCATATTTTTTTGATGCAAAAATTAATAAAAACTCGTGTTGTTTAAAATTTCATACATCAGTTACGTACTCAATCAATATCAAAATTGATGAGCGCATCTTTTTTTCTAGGGTACAAGCGACATTATTTTTCGTAATTATTATGTCTGTACGCCCGATTGTCGACGGCAATTGGCCGTGAATCTGAATTTCGGATCTGTAACCATTAATTGGAGACTGAAATCTCATTAGAAGTTATCAGATTATGCGATTGAACATCATCATCATCATCATCATCATCATCATCATCATCATGTCTTTCCTTCTTTTATTTATTTAATTAAAATTTTCTCCTCCCGTACGCATTCTGTCATTCTGTCATTGAGGCGTGCACCACTTAAAAATACCTGTCATATATATGTAAGGATAGAAAAAATGGATAATTTCAGACCGGACTACTGACTGATAAGTTCGTGGGTCTGCATCCATTTTTCATGTGTTCCAAATCTACATTATATGGGAAATAATAGAATTGATAAAGAGATACTCTGGCGAATGCTGGTCAGCCAGTGCGCAGAGCAGTACTTCCTTCTCCCGCCACTTAACAGTTTACATATTTTTTTTTTTTTTTTTCCATTCACTAACATCAGTTCACTTGTTCAATTTTCATCTGTTACATAAGACATTCAAATTAGCAGAGTTGGCCGCTCTCGCTTTCATCTTATTAAGGCCCAAATCACAAAGACGCTCCCAGGAAAGTAGAAAAATTACGACCTTTTAATACAAAATTCTCTCCGGATTATCGGTTGGGTGAAATAAACCGTTAAACCATTATTAGAATTGCGTTCACTTGTCGAGATGAAGCTATCAACAATTTAACTATAGTTTAGAAGACACAAGCGCTCTTCATTTTTCGATCGATTACTTTTCACTCAGGCCAGAGTGATATTCGAAAATCGAAATCCGAATTCGAATATAAATTCTCTAATATTGACTAAATATATTAAGTGAAACGTGCAGGCACGCCCATAATAAATAAGTTATAATGCGTGCAAAATCGATGTAAAATTTCATATAAATATATGTTAGCGTAAAACCAATGCAAATTTGCCGATTGTCACGCCCCCTATTAATAGAATCTCTGTATGATATAAGTTAAGGGGGTGGGCCGATTGGATTGAATTGTTTACGTATTGCGCCTTGCACTGGAAATTGATATTGAAATGTAGGAGAAACATTTACGAATTTTTTTTTTTTCTGTCTTTCTCTCTTTCTTGCTTTCTCATTCTCTCTCTCCCGCAAGGAATTTTTGAAAAGAAAAAATTTCCCTTTCCTTTATCATTGGAAAACTCAATCCGCCCAATATCTATCAAAATCTAAGTGGCATGTATGGAATGTTTTCAAACAAAAAAAATATTGAAAAAATAAAAATAAAAGCAAAAAGAAACGAAAAGGAAAAAGTAAAAATAAAAAAGAAAAAAAACAAAAAAAAAATTGCTTACAAATGTAAACAAAACAAAAATCTCATTTTCAAAATTTATTCCAATGAATTCAATTGTTTTCCCGTACACTGCCGATAAACTCGTACACGGACGCGGTAATCTGCTCTGCTTTCTTTGAATTTGATTTCTTTTGATTTCTTTTGATTTAATACAAATTATTTGTGTACGCTTCAAGTATTTAATTATCGTAAAACAATAACAAAAACAACATTTTCTCTTAGAACTCTGCAACGTGCCATTTATAACGCTCAAGTGTTTTTACATAATGCACAATATATTTATATATATATATATATATATATATATATATGTGTGTGTGAATATATATATATGTAGTGAATTTCTAATTATACGGATATGTTAACAGTCAATGGATATTTGAAGCGATCGGTGTAGAATGAAAAACAATACATTTCGTGTTGTTCCTGTTTTTATGTTTCTTTTGTTTTTTTTGTTTTTTTTTTGTGCTTTTCTTCTTACCTCTTAATTTTGTTATTTATTATTACATTGAAAAGAAGAAGAAAACAAATAACGTTTAATGAAGTGTTCTGAAATTTGTTGCTGTTACTGTTTGCATTTGTGCCGTTTCTATGATAACATTACGATTAACGTTATTGTGAAATAAAGACAACAACAACAACAGTGCGGGGGGGGGGGGGGGGCCCCTGAAAAACGATATTGTCAATTTATAAAGTGTCTCGGTTTTTGCAGTTTTTAGGCACTTTCAAATGGTTGGCATAAAACAATTCACAGTCTACAGTGCAATATTTCATGAGACACAATATTTACATATATACATAGGTATATATATATATAATATATTTCAGTTTAAATTGAATATAGTGTGCATTTGCAACATATCGTACCATTCTGTCATGTCTCAATTTCGTAGAAAGTGAAAATTACCAATCATTTCGAAGCAATTCTAACATTCATTATACCTTATGTCAGTGTCGTTGAAGTTTTCGTTTAAATATTTCAACGACATATATGATAGTTGGAGAACTTAGTTATCTTAATAGGAATGATTAAAAAGGGTTTGTCATCCTATTGCCTATTCGTAAAAATCCTATTCGTAATAGTAAAGTTTTCAAATCATTCATTATTTCAAAATATTCTGAACGGATACGAAAAATTAAATATCTATTTGACACTATAATTATGTAACAATTGATATTTTCATTAAGGATATATTAATACGTGCCCCATTCCCCCCTATCTTAATCGATTTCAATATATCTGTCCGTCTGTCTGTCTATCCTTTTATTTTTATATTCAATGTAAAGATTGAGGAATGAGTGTTATATTCATTTTTGTCATATATATTCTTGATTGCTGACACGCATCGCTACCATTGAAAATGGAACGAAATGATCAAAGGACACGACCAAAGTACAACATAATAAATAAAAACAAAAAAAAAAAAATAAAAATACATTTAGATACTTTTTGTTGTGCTGTAGTTCGAGCCTAAGTAGTTTTTATTTTTTCCAATTTCTTAATGTTCTCTGCTTATAAGGTAAACAAGACAGAACGTTAAAAATTATTTTTTTATATATTCTTCACATGAAGAGATATTAGATTATCTGTCGAAAAAAAGTATTAATTCCAATGTAAATATCGTGGACGCCACAACATGGACTGGTGGTCGGTTTCTCTTAACCTTATACACAATTGGATATAAAATGAAAGGAAAAGCTACGTGAGTTAATTGTATATTCACAGTGCTTCTTCTGGTCTCGTCCCTTCGAATATTACGATTCAACTCTCTCTCTCTCTCTCTCTCTCTCTCTCTCTCTCTCTCTCACTCCCTCTGACTCAGCTCAACTTTGCAAAACTTTCGCTTATCTAATCTCTTCGAAGCAAGAAGTTAATACCTAATATCGTTGTGTCATCTTCCCGTTAATCCCTCTCTTCGGCAAACATCGGCGGCGACAGGCAGTCTTATAAAAATTTAGTTGGTTCTATCATTTTAAAAATTTCCTTTCCTACCTGAAATAAACTCCAGGTAGTTTTCATGTTGCATCAAATGCGCGATTTTTATAACAACATGTTGACGAAATTTTTGTGCACTGCCATACTTTGGCCCAATGGCTAACCCTATTGAACGGCTTTTTAAATTTGTTATTTCGAATATTTCTCGATCAAAATCAGCAGAAAATAGTATTTTGTTGCACTAAACGATTCTGAAAACATCGATAAGGCTGGGAATATTTTCTCAAGGTCTTCCCGTACAACTAAGTGTAATTTTTAGTACAGGACAACGGCGGGGCAAAAAGATTCACAACATTTTTCCGATATGGCACGTAAACTGCAGGAAGTTTAATCGCGGACTTCTACGCGGTTAAGTCCTTTAACAAGATCACAAGGCTTTCTCACCGTTTCCAATACACCCGTCCTGGAATTACCTATATAACGTACGACATACTTGCGTGACTCGTTATTATTTAACCGCACGTGCGCCTGTGGAATAATCTGCCAGTAGATGTTTTTCCCGCTGTGTCCTTTTAACTCAAACGTACGCAAACACTACTTCGTTCTTCCATCCTTCTCTACATATAACTAGAACGCGTATAGGGGACAGCGACTGAGTGGCTGGTCATATATAAAAAAAAATATATATATATAATATTGTAGTCGGAGAAAGGCGACCATAACATACCTTATAGTACTTCGCCTAGTACTCTTACTCACTCGTTTTGATAATAATACACTTCAAAATACGCATTACTTTTATGCGAAGCCGTGAAAGCTTGCATATTGCAAGGTTAGACTATCTCTCCATATTAGGATTAGCGTTTCGTGACAACGCCTGTACATGTTGGGACCAAAAAAAAAAATAAAAAATAGGCCTACGTGATCCAAATTCACTCTCCTATAACCCTTCCTTTGTATGTCTTACTACTCATGGGACATCTCATGTAGAACGGGGCCAAGAAATAGACCAATGTGATTCATATTAGGTCCGCTTATTTTTGATTTAATTACTATCATAAACTAATTTTCATCATAAAAGAAAAAATCAATGTATTTTTGGCATATAAGAGTTTACGTTTCATGAGAATCCTTATATGCGGCGGTATTCAAAAAAATAGACCTACATCGTCCAAATTTGCTAAGGTCGATTTATTTCTCATTTTACTCTTATAAGCTAATTTTCACCAGGAAATAAGGGTTATATGCGAGGGCAATTTTTTTTCCCATACAACGACTTTTCAGAATATAGCGATTGATCGAAAAAGTCGACAGATCCGAACCATTTGCAATAGCGTTAATCCTTGGATCAAACAATACGTCACTGTACCAAATTTCATCGGAATTTAAAGTCAAAAAATTGCTATCTATAGCTTAAACACAAATATGCATAAAACGACATCAGACGGGGAATACGGGCAGATAGGCTTAGTAAATAAAAGGTAGATCCATCTTCAGGCTTTCTGAGTGTTATGCACATCCGTATTGTGTCAGAAGTGATGTAGGGTATAAATACGGTCGGAAAATATATTAAATGAATCCGCCCTTGAATAACCAATGCCTGCGACAATTTCTATTTAATTATATGTTTCCATTAACTCCTCAATACTAAGCTGAGTGTTTAAATTCAATTAATCAATTAAAAATTTAAAAAAATTTCATTTAATTAATTTTAATAAATTGATTACAGAATTCTGTGCCAGTAATATAATAATAAAAAACAAAAAAAAAAACATTTGAAAAAAATGCTAAGCAATAACAACAACAACAGCAGCAGCAGCAGCAGTAGCAGCAACGCTTTTTTAAATAAAACAACGCAAACATCTTATGAACTTTTTGAAGGTTATAATGAGAAATTATTAGAATTTGCCGCAATCGCCTGTACCGTATTCCTAGTTATAGGCGTGCCGGGTAATATACTAACCATAATAGCGTTGACCAAAGGAAAACAGGTATGTAAAAGAATAAAAGAAATCGAATGATCTTTTATTTAATTATTAATTTGATTTGATCTGTTGCAGAATCGCAACGCTACCGCAATTTTCATAATCAATTTATCAATATCGGATTTATTATTCGGTTGCTTTAATTTACCCCTGGCCGCTTCGACCTTTTTTCGACGGACTTGGGCACATGGAGATCTGTTATGCCGTTTGCTACCATTGCTACGTTACGGTCTATTAGCAGTTTCGCTATTCACAGTATCACTGATAACAATAAATCGTTACGTAATTATTGCACATCCAAGACAATATACCCGGTAAGTAAATGCTCGATTCGATTCGAGAAAATCTGATATAAATTTAATAAATTTTATATTTCGTCTGTGGTTTAACTTAGCTCTCCATTGACTCTATTTATAATATTTGAAAATTCGAGATCAAAATTTATATTTATATATGTATGCATATATGAATCAATATAAATTGAGCTAAAAAAATTAGACACATTTACTATCACTTGACGTTTTATAGATGAAACATGAAAATAAATTAAACATATATGCGCTTGAGAGGCCGAGTAGGCAAGAGTCTCGACCAGCAAATCAATGGTCGTGGATTCAAATCTCAAGTGCGGTAGAGTTTTTAATAAAGCCGAAAGCCGAAAGCCTTGGATGCTAGTGCTTTAAGACTTTTTTTAGTCTTAGAATTTATTCTCTGGCTAAATTTATAATAATAATAATGTGTGTATGCTGACGAATAAAGTTTAGAACTTCCGAAGCAAAAAAAAAAAAAAAAAAAAAAAAAAAAACCAAAACTAGGCCCAAGTTCCACGATCCAAGCTTGAACGGAATTTAATTTCAATTTCATTTCACTCATTCAAACGCCAACGAGGTTAACACTAATCGGACCATGTGAGCCGAATAGCCCAGCCTCCCAGCGAGAATGGATTCTCGTTTTTTCGGCAAAATCTCGCTCATATTTATCACATTTGAGATTTGAACCCGCGACCACTGAGTCCGTATTGTCCGTGTGAGTAGCTGAGTAGGCTTATCTGCCTATCGTGATAAACAAACATGTTAGATGTCAACATAAAACATCATACAGAGGCGGTATATCTTTTGTTTTAGCGAATTAGGCAAAAATACAAAAAAAAAAAAAATCTTTAAAAATAAAATAAGTAAGAAAATTAAATTCGATCGTGACCAAATTTTCGATATACCCACCCCATCATTATTATCATCAAGAAAAGACTAAAAAGGAGTAAAACAACCCAGCTGTGATAGGCGAGGCTGAGTTTTTTTTTATTTTCAAAATAAAAGTTTTTGTCGCATAGTCATGTGGGCATTGTAGGCGGATCTTTTGAAAAAAGGAAGATCACTTTCAAAATTTCTTTTGCTTAAATTTATTGGCGATAGCTTGTCTTTGGACAGACGGACGGACATGCCCAGATGCATTGCGAATTTAAAATTAGCCAAGAATTTTTACAACGGATAGATGTTCTACAACAATGCCCATAGAATATATGCCAAAATTTTTGTAGATTTATTTAGTTTAGTTGATAAAGAATGAGTTAGCTACATATTGAATAACGTTAAAGCTATGCTTTTAGAAAGAATGACTGATATTGCTGCCCATTGACAAATTTTTAAATTACTGATTACTTTTAGTTATACTATTTTTATGCCCATCACGGAAGGATGAGGGGTATATTGATTGCGTCAAAATGTTTACAAGGCCCGGAACGAAGCTTCAGCGACCCCCACAAACTATATATATTCTTGATCAGCATCATGTTCTCAATCGATTTATGCACGTCAGTTTGTCTGTTTGTTTAATGTCTGTTGTAAACATTCTTCTGGTCGTAATAATGAAGCTATCGAATTGAAATTTTGGGAGAAACATTGGTGTTCTTGCATGCACGATATGCAAAATCAGTCGAAGAACACGCCTACCGAATCATATAACACAACAGAGAACACCTTTGCTTTTCAAAAGCTATAAAAAGTTGATGTGTTCTTCGTTAACCATAAACCAAAAGCAGCAAGAAAATCAACAAAAATTTGATCGTATAATCTATGGATGTATGAGGTACTGTAGTACATGTACAAGAATGGGAAAAATGACCATGTCTACTCACTGTTGTAGTTTATCAGAATTTAATTTTTTTTTATAACGAACAAAAACAAGCGTTCAAAAGCCTCCATAAAAGGGCCTAGGTACGTCCGTCTATGTCCGTCGTGTATTTAATTGTTCGTCTGCCCAACTGCATAGTATTTGCGATAAACTTGAAGAAAAATTTGAAAATTACCTAAACTATGCGACAAAAATTAAGAACACCTTTGCTTTCCAGTTTTTTTTTTTTTTTTTTTTTTGCTTTTTTACTTATAAAGCGCAACATACACATTTCATTACATAAATTGCTCCATTCCTATTCTGATAATAGACAAAATCAATCGCTCGGAATAGAAACATTTAGTTCTTCTCCTTTTTTTTTCAAGCCTTTTTATACCCACCACTGTAAGATGGCGATATACTGATTTGGTGTTTTTTTCCATAATATATGTAACACCCAAAAGGAAGCTTCAGAGACCCTATATGCGCAGCATAAAATCCTAAGTTAAATTAGCCATGTTTGTCCGTCTGTCCGTTTGTGTATTGGCACTCTCCTGATCGTAAAAATAAAGATATCGACTTTAAATTTAACAAAAACATTCGAAGTTTCTGCACGAGGGTTGGTATTGAAAATAGCCCAAATCGGTCGAAGCGGAAACGCGCATTGGAGCGAAAACTGAACGCAACTCCGTTTTTTTAAACGAAAATTTTTGGATTTTTGCTCATTCCTCGGAAAATAATAAAAGTAAAAAGGATGAAATTTTCCATATTGAGTTTGCGAAGCACTCTAGTCCTTACGTGAGAAAATGGAAAACATCCGCTATGAACACACAAAGTTACAAGTGATTAAATTTTGTTTTTTTTTTTTTACACTTTTGAGATTTTATGCTTACTTAGCATAAGGTAAGCATAAGACCGAATGTTTATAACAATTTTGTACACTCCGTAAATAAAGGTATATTGTCTGCCGAAAAATGGGTTACTTTTAAAATGAATATGGTAGACACCACGCTAACCTTTTTTCTTAGGAACACTAGCGATATTGGTATCACATTAAGGAACTTGGAGAGCAGTATGTGAAATGCATAGTGGTAGGTGCGCGAGATTCAGCCTCCGCCGAATATAACTTGCTGACTCGTTTAGGATAACAATGATGGGTATAAAAGATTCGATCACGACCGAGTATAATTTTCATACTTGTTATATATATCACAAGCAATTTATTTAAACGACTTATTATTAATTTGAATAATTGAACATAAGGTACATTTATGGTATTACGCCTTCTAACAGTTTGTGCTCAATCGCGAGCATCAAACAGGGCAATTTTCAACCCATTAAAAAAGGACGGAAAAGGAGTAGTTACGAGAAACCTTTAAATGCTGTACATCTCTCGACAACAGACAATATTGGACAACACAGCACGAATATGTTATTAATGCAAGCGCAATAGAGTAAATCAATATTTTTTGAAAACATACATACATACGTATGTTACATATGCGACAATGAAAAATGGAACTTTGCTTACATGTAATGTAAACATATCCTTGTAAATATTGGCTCTAATTAAGGCTCTAATCTATAAATCTATGAAAAGTAACCGGATTCGAATAAATTGTTCGTAATTGCTTTACGTTTTTTTTATTTGTTGTTATAGAATATATCAACGGCGCTATTTGACCTTTATGGTGATGGGTGCTTGGTTAATGGCCTTCTCAATAATGGTGCCTACTTGGCGCGGAGTATGGGGTAAATTTGGTCTCGATATAAACATTGGCTCTTGTTCTATACTTCCCGATCGGAATGGTCGTTCACCAAAAGTGATTCTATTCCTTTTAGCATTTTTGGTGCCCTGCATTTGTATTGTCTTTTGTTATGCTCGGATTTTCTATTTAGTACGAAAAGCAGCGTTTCGTACTCGAGAGCCCGCGACATCACCTAAACATCGAATCTCACATGCTACCGAACCAATAATAATAAATCCAATAAGGCATCAAACGTATGCGTGCGATACAGTGAATGATGAAAATCGAAAACCGTTCACTGTTAACGAAGACTTGGAATACATTGATGTTAATTATTCTTTTGAAGATCTACCCATATCTTATGAACAAATTAGTCATGAAAATTGCGTAAGCAATTTACAATCAAAGGCAATCAATGTTCGTGCAAGTTTTGAAAATATTTTTAAATACTTTAAGTAACGATTTTCGTTATCCATTGCAGAACTTGCAGGCAATCACAAAAACTAAGGAAAATTTTATTAATCCAAGTCCAGTTAAAGAGCCGGAAAACTTACTAGGGTAAGTAAATATACATTTGTAATACTATCGGGGTAATGCTAATAAATTATTGCCTAAACTTCTTGCTTCAATGAATTTATTTGAAGAATGTCTAAGAAATGAGAGAGAAATTTTACCATATTCGAATAGCACTCTTCACACTCGGAACTTAACATAAGATGATTTCATCATAAGTGCGGAAAAGTTTTTACAGTTTTATAACAATCATGTACTTATGTAGATGGAGTTACTTGTTTTCTATTAACATAGAAATTTCTGCGATTTTCGCCATACACTCTATGTATTTTCTTTACTCTTTGAACTTTTCTCTCTCTTTACTATGGGAATGGGATAACTATTAAGTTTAAATTTGTAAAATAATGCATTAATAATGCATCTGAAGTTGCCGACTAGATACGAATCTGAAAAATGATCAAAGTAGATAAAAAAAAAAAAGAAAATTTTTTGATAGTTTAAAGAAAAAGTTCGTGGCGTTTTAATAAATTCATTTTTGAAAAAAAAATGATAACGAGCTGTGAAAAATGATTCATATACGGCAAAAATATGGGCAACATTTTGATAGCTTAAGATGGGTAAGGCCCACACTAACGTCATATAGATAAATTTTTTGATAAGCCCAAAAAGAGGCGCTCATACCGAGCGCGTAAGGTAAGGCGCTTTAGCGAAATTAGAAGCGATTCGTGCATCAAATATGAGCAGCGTCTCCAATCTGATTATAGAACCGATTCAATTTTTCATTATCAACAAGTGCAAAATTGGCTCAAATAGAATGATGGAGATAAAAAAAAGACAATTGCGGCCGTAGAGAAATTTTAAACAATTAAAGAAAAATTGACTTTTCTTCTGCGTGCCTTTGCTTAATGGAAAATGCGTACAAAAATGATTATATTAGGTATTTGTAAAAATTTTGATCAGGTAAAAATTATAAAGAAATGCAAAATACCAGTTGAACTCTATGGTTTTGATCTTCCTCTTTTAATGTTATTTTGATTTATTGAGCGTACGCCGACGCTGATCATGGAACACTCAAAATTGGCATATTCGACATTAATTTTTATGGTTGCTGGATTTGAAGGTATCAGCTGCCGAAACCCATTAAACACCTTTAAAAGCTTATGGTGATTATTGTGCTCCATCATACCCCAAATTATCTGTTTTGGTTTCAACAGTTTAAGTAGTAATGGCTTTGACGTTAATGAGAAAGAATGCCTTGGACGATCAGAAAAGCTCAAGGACCAAGATCCCAATACACACTCTCAAAAGAACTTTCGAATAGCATTAGCAATTGATGAATCAACTGCTTCTTGACCTTTACATGCAATGGGGTATGGCCAAAAGGAGAAGGAAAACGGCTAACTTGCAAATTGACTGAAAATGCTATTTTGACCGATTGTTGCAAAAGTCGTCCAGGCTATGTTGTTGCAACTCGAATGGGAAGTTCTGCCGCACCCAGCGTACTCATCAAACATGGCTGGCCACTAGCTCCGATCGGTTCAACATGGCTTGGCTGACACGCGAGTCCGCAAAGTTGAAAAAGTGGAAAAATGGATTAGTGGATAATGGTCGCTGGCAAACCAATAGAAGCTCTTTCGACATGTCGCCAAAAAAATATTGTAAAACTATAGAAAATGATATCAACCATCTTACCTGATTACCAACTTTTTTCAAGTGAAAAAGTGATCAAAACTTTTGCAAACACCTAATATATCTCACACTCACACATGTCATTATTTCATTAGACATAAAAATGTAGACTCAATGGGCAGTGCTTACCGCAAAGCTCGTTAAATTGCCAGCGCCTCGCAAAAATGCTTCAGGTGTTGATATTTTCTTTTTTTTTTTCATTACTTAAATATAAGCCTAATAAACGCCACGAATATTATGATTACTCTCTCTTTCCTTCTATTCAAAACGCAGTTGTCAAAGATCCGCTTATTTGTTTTCTTTTAAGCTCTTACATCGAATATTAATAATAATTGATTGAAAAATTAAATCTGTAACAGCGTCGATGTTATGACATTGATTGAATATATATACATTATATATTCTAATCAGATTCTGGATAACATAATCAAGTTTAAAATCAATTGATTATCGATATGTTGGACTTGACCGGTGTGGTGTTTACTGTACTCAACAGAGAGGCCTTTAAATGTTAAAAATTTCAGAAATTTTATCGCAATTGCATAACGGTTTTGTCAAAAAAAAAAAAAAAAAAAACAGCGACGACGGATCATCGAGCAAAATGATACAAATTTCATTTACTTAATTTATATGAAATGCGAAACGAGAAAATGTCTTTGAATTGCGCTGACAAGGCGTCATTAACTTTTTTCCTTTATCTGATCTATTTCACCTTGTGTTTATGAATTTCTCTTTAAAATAAACGCATTGCAAACGGTCTGCATAACTCTTAATTAAAAGGAGATAAAAATGAATTAAAAATTGTTATTAATTTAAACATTAATTGCTTACTGAATTTAATTTGTTAAAAAAAAAAAAAAAAAAAAAAAAAAAAAAAAAAAAAAAAAAAAAAAACATCATATCTCCCAAGAAATGAAATTTTTTGTTTATTCATTATAACCATCACAGAAGGATGAGAGGTATATTCATTTCGTCAAAACGTTTGCAACACCCGGAACGAAGACGCCATAGAGGATATATATATGTTTTCTTAGTCAGCATTGAACTCTGAATCGATTTATGCCTGCCTGTTTTTTTTGTCCATCTGTCCGTCCGTCTGTATAATGTCCGCCGTAAAGGTTCTCCTAATCGCAAAAATGAAGCTATCGACCTTGAAACCTTGAAAATTCCGCACGCAGTGCACGTAGGTTTGTATTGAAAATGGCACAACCCGATCGAAGGGTACATCCACAGTACCTTGTAAACTGAGAACATCTTTGTTTTTCAAATGGTATAAAAAATTGATTTTTTTTTATATTAATTTCTCATAATCTATAGCAGGAAAATATAGAAAAATTGAAACGTACACTCTATGGGTGATGCTATAGAACCAGGTGGTAAAGATACTCCCGTTCGTAAAAATGAAAATATCGCCTACAAAATTTGCAAAAGAATTTGAAAATCAACTCAACCGATTTTGGAGGATGCTTTTACGACGCCCATATATCTTAGCGGTAGAAATTTTTATTTCGAAAATAAAGAAAAAAATCAACCTCGCCTTGCCCCACTCCATATTACATAGCATGAAAATTGAGTTCTTTCACTTTTCTTATCTTCTTTAGGATAACGGTGACGGGTGTAAAAGATTCGGTCACGACCGAATTTTATTTTCCTATTGGTTTTGCCGTTCATTTTGTAAAGTTTTTATGTATGTAATTTTTTCTTTTATCATCCTCTAGACAGCTCTGTGTTCGCAAACCATCTGTAAAGAACTCTGCTACACGATTCAGTTCACGTAAGAATCATTATGTTGCTATGGGTAACACTTCAAACGCATCGTCTATCTACCCGGGACGTATGGGCCAAAAGGATCGACGCCTTTTAAAAATGATTTTTGTTATATTTATCTCATTTGTTATCTGTTATCTGCCAATAACGATTACGAAAATCTGGGAAGGAGGCAGAAGAAATCATCTCTTCAATATTAGCGGTTATCTTCTCGTGTATCTTACAACTTGCATTAATCCCATCATTTATGTAATGATGTCGTCCGAATATAGAGAGGCTTATTGGAATTTATTGAGATGCCGATGCAAAAGGTCAAAACATAAACGATTTCAAAAGCCCATTTAATAATCAATAATAGTTTCAATATAATCGAAAACTATTAAATTAGTATTTACTTAAGTATTACACCTTAAGTTTGCGTCTTATTTAATAAAGTTTACATATTATTATATTGAATGAAAAATAAAAAAAAAAAAAAATTATTCTCTTGAGTTTTTCATTATTAAGGTCACGCATTCCGTCATCTTGTTGCTCAAAATTCATTCGAAATTTTCGAAATCAAAGGAACGAATAAAAGTGAGCCGAAAAAAGAACCGAAAGTAAGAAAAATCGATCTAATCTAATCTATACATTTTCACGGATAATCACCTATCACTAACTCATTATCAATTACTTTGGAATGATTGCGACGAACCATGTAAATATATCCTAATCGATCCGTTCACTGAAACGCGGGAATCAAAAAATTGTTATATCGTTTTTGGTCAGGAAACTTTGATGTGCAAGACGTTCTTCACAATGGCCGGGTAATCGCAGATAAGAGTCGGTCAGCAATAGAGAACAGCAAGTAAGATGACCTTCCGCTTGAACTTCACATCAAACGGTTCAAGAACTTCACATCAACATTTCATAGATAATTTTGCATTTAGCATGGAAAGCTTTGAGATACGGGTTCATCTGAGAAGAAGACTTGTATTTTTTCGTTAAGCCATTGTGGATTAGATCTAGGAGTTATTGCTCAACATATATGTATGTTTTTATATGATGTGAATATGTAATTGTTGATAAATCTTTGGCAAAAATTACTGAATAAATGTAGTAGGCGAAGTAGTGTAGGGTATCTAACGATCGGTCTTGCCCGTCCATTTGTTTATCCGAATGATACGAAAGAAAGTGTTTTTTGCATCGCCATCCTGGGTATGAAAAGTGAATCGCTTTTAACAGTTCCAGAAGAAAGTGACAGTTAATCTGTCAAACGCTATTGAAAGCAATTAATCGATTTGAAATGTTTGCTATGCGAAAAACGAGCGAAATATCACAAAAAAAAAAAAGGCAACACAATACCAGGTAATTTTTTTTTACATGACATCCGTCCATCCATCCATACAGGAAAATCAGTTCCATGAAACTAGAGATGCGTTGGAAGCATTCAACGGTTTATTTACCAAACTTGAGTCCTTCTAATTACCATTTACTTGTGCGCATCGATGGGATACGCTCTTGCTCAGCAATACTTTACGTAAATCTCTCCAAGACGGGTTTGCCTCAAAAAAACCCCAATGGGTTTTTCGTTTTTCATTTTTCATTTTTTTTTTTTTTCAGGTATTAAGACGAAGAAAAAGGGGTGCGTCCAATAAGAATACTCAATTGCACGAAGAAATTTTCTATTCAGAGGATGGATGAAAATCGATGTATTCTTTCATTCATATCCGGGTAGACATATGATGATAAATAAACTTGAAAAGCGATGTAGTTTGAATTATAAGAACAATCGTTGATTACTTTTTTTATTTCTTTTACTTTTTCAATAATTTTTTTCGATTTTACGGTTTATAATTTTTGTTTTCTTTTTTTTTTTTTGTCTTGTTTTTTTTTTGTTTTTTTGTTTTTTTTGTTTTTTTTTGTTTAATATACGTACATATATGTATGTGGTGGTATGTATGTTGAATGTGTATAAATGCATTTATATGTAAGTATGAATCAATAATGTTCGAATTTCCAGCGTATAATTTTATATTTAATTTTTTTCATTTATTATTATTATTAGTTGAAAGTTTTTTTTTTTTTTTCATTTTCATTTTCGTTTCAAATTTTGCGTTTTTTTTCCCTTTTCTGTTTTTTCTTCATATTTGTATTTATCCAATATTTAATATAATAATATGTATAAGAATTATTGTTATTGTTATCGTTATCGTTATCGTTATTCTTTGAATTTCGGTTTTTTAAAGAGTCTCTTCTTTTTTTTTTCTTTTGTTTAACTATAAATATTCCGTTTAATTTAATATAATAATCATAATAATCTTAGTAATAATAATAATAATAATAATAATAATAATAATAGTAATGATAATAAATAAACTATAGAAAGAGAATTTGAATTTTAAGTTTAAATCTCATGCCATTTTAGCAATAATTGTTTAATTTATATAATTATAAATATTTATGTATGTATGTATGTATGTATATATATGTATGTATATTTATGTATATGTTTTCTTTTATGTATAATAAGAGTACATTTCTGTATATAAATTGTTTATCTATTTAATTTAATAAATATTAAATTTTTTTTTTCTTTTTATTTCTCTGGCCATAACTCATACATTTTCTCTATTTATTTATTTATTTATTTATTTATTTAATGGTGCAGCAAACTCTTCAATTTGTTTATGGGGAATTCTGTTTTTTTTTAAAATAAATTTTCATGTTTTTTTTTGTTGAGAAAAGTCTTTCGCGGGCTAAGTATGTATGCATTGTATAAGTGCCTAAGTATTACATGCATATAAATACAATACGTTCCCCTTACGAAATATCTATGCATATTTTACGTTAATATACATACACACGTACAAACGTATTAATAACATACATTATATTATATATATATATATATATATGTACGTATGTATGTGTATATATGTACGTATGTATGTGTAGGTATTAAACGATTATGATCTTTGTTGCAAATAAAAAATAAATAAAAATCGTAAAATATATTAAGAGGCAGAGAGATTGAGAGAGAGAGAGAAAGAAAGAGAGGAAGAGAGAGGGAGAAAAATTGAAAGCAATTTGCATACCTTACGATTAAATCAAACCCATCTTTTCGCTTCAGTCCGATCGGTAAACCATAAAAGAGAAAACTATGTTTTTCGATTTAGGGCGAATTTCAGATAAAAATCTCCCCCTTTCTGCGATCGGATTCACGAACTGCGGTTAGGACAGATAGAAGTTTGATTTTGAATATATAATCAAATTTCGTATATATGAAAGTTTGTTCACTTTTCGATACGTTTTTATGCCTTGTCTTTCAAATCGTGATCGACGATACTCGAAATGGAAAATTTCTAATGCAATCCACAAAATTGTAAGCAAACTTAGGACTTTCCATCCGACATCAACTGACCATAATTAAATCAACCCATAATCGGAAGCGTCCAGACTATTATTGAAAATGTTTTCAGTTTCCGTTTTTGTTTCTATTTTCGGTGTTTTTTTTTTTTTTTTTTTTTCTCTAAATTATTTTTTTAAGCTCTTTGGCTTGGCGTGTTTGTAACCGACCGAATCATTCAATTCTTCTGCTGATTCGAAAGCAACCAGATAAACACGGACACCGACCAACTAATTATCTATTCAATCCTTATACCGGACAAGCAAAAGAATGAAATTCAAAAGGAAAAAGAACCGAATTTTATTAAAAAGGAACAAACTATATTCCGGAGAGTTCATTCGGCTCAATGAGTTAATTTCACTGACTTTTTCCATCACACATCCTTTTATTATTAATAAACAGAAAGGGTTAGGTATTTTCTTTTTTTCTTTTTGCTTTTAATTTTTCTAAACTGGAAGTATTTTGAATACAGACCAAATTGAATTATCTAACGTAAATCCATAGTAAAAAAAAAAGTGGAAAAAACGAGGAAAAATAAGATTACGTTCTAACTCTAGGAAGAATATAACAACATGAACACAACTCAAAGAGTGAAAACATTAATGACTAATAATAATCCAGTACTTTTAGCGTATATATATATATATATATATATATATATATATATATATGTATGTATAAATATATGATTTACTACTGTGCAAGGTATTGTGTTTTTAAAGGATTGTGCAAATAATTTTAAGCAGTTTCCAGATGCTCGGCCAATTCGAGAATGGGACTTTCGCTAAGCGGTTTTATAACAACAGTTTGCCAATTCGGTGCATAGAGAGTTGTGGTAGTGGACGACGATGATAGTGCGCTGGATGATGATGGAGTGCTCGATGATGTACAAGTGGACGATGATGTTTGCAATGATGATGACGGTGCCGTTGGCTAAATGCAAGCAATCAAGAAATCGAAAGAAAAAGAAAAAAACAAAAGAAAGATTGGGAAAAGAGAGAGAGAGAAAGAGAGAGAGAGAGAGAGAGAGAGAGAAAGAGAGGAATAAAACGTTAAACTTTACGTTACGTTTTTTTTTAGTAGTTGCGATAAAATAACAACGGAGAGTTAACAATTACATGGTATGCATGCGATGGTGTGGCTGGCGCTGGTGAACTCGGTGTCGAGCCACGGCCACCTCCGTTCTCCAATTTAACGGGAGAAATCTTTTTGTGAACCACCGACGATCCCCACGTCTCGGACATTTGCCGATTCATGCTGGGGCTTTTACTACGCGGCATTGCTAACAATGCCACATCCGCCGATTGTTGCTTAATATAGGTGGTTTTCATAAAACTGTTTACCGCACCCATATGATGCGTGTACGCCCCCACCGGTGTCAGCGGGGTATTATGATGATGATGATGATGATGATGATGATGATGAGGCTGATGCTTGCCATTGCTTTCCATTAAACTTAAATCTACGTAGTCCTCATTATGCCCTAAATTAGAAACCAATGGCGTTGACGCCTGTGGAGGTGTGGGCGGTGGCGCTGTCATTGGACTAACTGGTATCAAAGTAGGAGGATGAGTAGCCATTTTATACGCATGATCCCTTAAAATATGTTGTTGACGCGTTAAATGCGTTTCTAATGCATATTGCTTTTGGAAAAGTTGACGCTTCTGCTGCAAAAGACGATGTTGTAACAATTGCTGCTGCAGCGGCGGCTTTTGCAACGGCACCATCGCCGTGGTGCTTAGCTGATGATAAAGCATACCTTCATGTCGCGGCAAGCTACCCACATAAGAATTACCACCACCGTCGAACCGTAGATAATGTATTAGTGAGGGATGTAAAGCGCCATTTTTATCAGTGTAGTTTTCCAAATGTTGATGTTGAGCGTACGCTTGCTGCAGTTCTAGTGGCAATCGATTAGACAAAGTATAAAATTGACTATGTTGAAATTGACAATTATTTAATTCATCCAATGGCAAATTGGATCTGAATTTATTTTTTAAGGTTAAAGCCTCTCTTTGCAGTTGTTGTAATTCAAGCCAGCCATTACGTTTATGGATATCGTAACGATAGCTGCCGTATGAGGAGCCATTATGTAATGGACCAGCCGCTCCCGTTAAACCTTGAGCCACTAAGCCATCACTAGCTCTCCGACCTTCTCTATAATCAAATCAATAAATTTGTAAAATTAATTTTCTTATAAATGTGGCAAATGTGTATGTGTGTGTGTGTGTATATGTGTGTGTGTGATAATCGCCAAGAATTTACCTAAAATGTATAGGCGAACGTTTATCGGTGTAAGGATTCGATTTTGTTGATAACATAGACGTTGTACTAGTTACGGATGGTGACATATACATGCAGGAATTATTGCTATTGTATACCGATCTCTCTGACGAGTGGTCAGATGTGCCCCCGGAAACCGCTGCGGCTAAGGTCGAATTGCTGGCACAAGAAGGTAAACTGCCAGCAATATCGATGCTGGTTACCAAATTGAAATCAATGCTTTCGAATGTTGAACAATTGCTTTTTGACGAACCACGGCTCAAATTTTGACTTAAGCTTTTCGAATAGCTACCGATGACACCGCTTGAGGAACTACTGCTCGCAAATGACTGAATGCGTTGATTTCTTAAATCATTGGAAGATTGTGATGTATCTGCGGTTGTGCGTGTGGAAAGAAAGGGGCGCACTTGAAAGGCATTTATCAAATAAAAATGGCAAAAAAAAAAAATAAATAGAAACGGATTTTACCTTTTGTATCGTTGCCTATATCTGTTTCACAACCTTCATCTGTACTGGTTGAGCTGCTTTGATTGGTTACTTTCTTGCCTGAGCCATTCGTTGTTGATTTCTCGCTTCCATTGGAACTACGTACAATAAACAGATTCGTGAATTTAATGAAAACAAGCGATTACGTAAAAGTATATATAGTATGAATATAGGATCCACAGGTTTTTTTCTATCTGTCTTTCTTTTACATCGCGGAGTACCGTGAAAAGAAAACACGATAAAAATTGAAGTAAAAAGATTTGTCTACGATAAATATTCTCCAGTTCGCATAAAAAATGAAAATATCGACATTAAATTTGGCATAAACACTGAAAGTTCTTTCACGCGGCCTGATATTGAAATCGAAGCAAATCGCTCAAAAAAAAAAAAAAAAAGCTTACAGCGACAAGTCTGTCTGTATATCTACCCAACCATCTACTATTCGCCTACAAAATTTGCAAAAGAATTTGAAAGTGACCCAAACCGATGAACCGATGAATCAACTCTTCTACAACGCCCACATACCATTGCGGCAAAAACTTTTCACGACCGAATATAATTTTCTTAGTTGTTTGCATTTTTTTTCGAACTCTACGTTAGCCTAGCGTAAAAGAAGCGGACAACAATTTAAATGAAATGGAACGTAGCTAGTGAGTTAGAGAAGAATACTAGAAGAAAAATGCCTGCAATGCAGAAGATCTAAACGTTAAAAATAATAAAAAAAAAAAATGTAATCTTATTGCTTGTAATTGTAGATAACTGTACACAGTATTTTACCATTTAGAAAATTGTTGACCGAACTTATCTATAGCTATAGATCATAAACTTGCTTTATTCAGAATAATATCTCAATTCGCTTACCTGTTATACATTTCGATAGTAGTCTTCATGTTCTCTTTATCACTTGATGCAATTTTATGATCACTTGTTGTAGTAGTGGTGGCCGAATTCGTCTTAGATTTGGTGGTTTCCTTAAAATCTGGTTTCTGAAAAAATGAACAACAATAATAAGCAATCATCCTTATTGAAAGGAAAAAGGCAAAAGACTCGATTGACTAACTCGTCCAGAATTGCAATTTATTTTTTTTTTTGTATGCAAAGGTATTCTCCAACCTATTTAGGCCTGCGTTACAAGACAGAAATCAAAATATCTCGTCAGACCGATTAAGTAATGAAATCCATTGGCGATACTTTTTCTGCATGAATTCAATGAAATGCGAACATTAAAGAGATATCATATAGTTGATCTTCTATTTAGAAATCAATTGATCGTTTATCGTTTCGTAAATTAATTTAATGAGTCTTCTAACTATTAATGAATATATAGTTTCTGTTTCATTCATTAAAATATCATGCTTGTGCTATTATATTGTTTGCATTGGGCAACAATAAACTGTAATCCCATTATTGTTCTCATCTCATCATATTTATGTAAATTAAATATTTTATTAAAAAAAATATATATAAATAAATATCTTCATTCATTTACCTCCAGTGGTAGTGGGCTTTCTTGTAATGTCTGGAAAAGTTTTGTGGCCTCAGCCGACATCTTGAAACGAAATGTAAGATTTTGACCCAACATCGATGAGGAAGAATCGAAACTAGTCGAACTTGAAAGAGTTTTATAATCATTGACCTTCGCCGGATTATCGGATTTTTGGCGTTTCTCTTCGTTCGTTATTGTTGCTGTAATCGTCGTAGGGTGTTTGTGATTTTTAGTTTCTGATATGGCAGTGGCCTTTTGCAACAAGAGGCGGCAGTCTTCTGAACTTTGCTTAAGTATACTCTCTTCAATATTGTTGTAGTGTTGCAGTGCTCCAGCTGCGCGCAAACATCGTTTATCGTCGGCGCGTAAAGCGGGCCCACCATTTAGACGCTGTTGCGATGCAAGTATATCACGGCAGTTTAGATTCGATATCGATAATTTATTATTGTCTATATTATAAGTTGAACAACCAATGGGTCTCTGGCTAGTGCATAAATTATGGCGACTTAAACGTGATACTTTCTCAGTATTGCAGCGTGTTGCGTAATCTTCATTAGATCCGGCCATCAAATGCTTAACATGATCATCCGTAAGCATTGCACTACGTTCATTTAACAGAGTTTGACGACTCAACTTGGTTGAGAGCGTTTGATAGTCTTTAGCTAAGCTAGTACCTGCTGCTGCTGTTGTTGTAGCATGATCAGCGATAGCATTATTTTGCATAAGATGATTAGATTTTAAGCGTTTATGTTCGATTGATGTTGGTGCTCTATGCTGTTTATATAAAACTTTCGATGTGTAACGCGAAGCAGCAGAAGAAACAGTTGAGGTGGTAGATAAAGCTGCCGTTAAGCCGGGCGGCTTTGTGACGCTGGTATGTTTCGGCAGTGATGTGCTACAAACGGCGGTATTGTTAAGTGTTAATGTGGAACCAACCAAATGTTTCTCCTGAGTTATTTTCTTATTACAAACTCGATCTTGCAGTAATAAGTAAATGGCAGCGACATGATCATAACTGTTTTTCTTTAGGCTCGCTTTAGTCTTTTCTGGTGGTATGCCCGCAAATTCGGACATTACTCGCAAAATATCTTCGTTCGGCTCAATATTTGTCGTTCCATCCATATTGACATTAAATTTAGCTATATTCGACAATTCCAATATTTCTGGACACATCCACCGGTGACGTTTAATTTGTTCAATGCTATAACGGCGTGTGGGTTCCAACACTAACATGCGCCGTATTAAATGTTCACATTCTGCAAAAAGGAGACAAAACAAATGAAAAAAATCAAATTAAAAGCTTCAGTTTAGATACCCACCGGAGGACATAAAAAATGGTATTCGGAAACGTCCAGATAGCACACGATCACGTAAACTTTGCAATGTGGAGCCGTCAAAGGGCAACGCGCCACAAACAAGCACATAGAGAACTACACCCAATGACTGAAAGGCAACAACAATCACAGTCATATTGCGCTATTAAATATCCTACGAATTGCAATGTGTGTGTGTGTG